AAGACAGATACATATATATATATATATATATATATATATATATATATACACTCTTTTAAATGCAGAACACAATACTCTTTGATAATGATATACATTTGATTTCTTTTTCCTTTTCCTACAGTGCAAATAAAGTGTCAAGTGTGATGCAATGTATAAAATGAAGTTGGGCATATCTGCGCTTGTGGGTACATGCAAACGAAAAAAAAGACATAAATGTATTATTTTCATGCCTACACGTTTTGTAAAAGTACTTCTTACGATACACCTATACATATAAATATATATGTATACCCACCACTTGTGTACCTAATTGTAATTATATATAATTATGTAAGTAACGCGTAAGATATAATATATTATATATTATGGTCTCAATATCATTGCCACTATTATATACCGCAAGAGTGATGATCAAGTACAATTCCACAGCCTTATTTCCCCCTCCCCCCGTGAATGTACACGTATAAATGACTATATGGTTTTTACATTTGTAATGAATTATTTATGACAAAAAAAACACTCGCTCGTAAGTATTGTATACTCAACCACGAAAATCGACAAATAATCATATATATATATTACTTTGAAGCCACACAACATATTGTACGATGTATGTATGTATAAAGTATTAAAAGAAAAAAAAAAAAACAAAAAAAAACAACAAAAAAACGAAATATTCATCAAACATTTTTGTGTCAATTGAGCATAACCATCGCCCTATTTTTTTTTTTTTTTTTTAACATTACTTTGCTGATACAACATTTGAAATTTAGTTCGGTATCGGCGTTATGAAGATTGGTATATGTAATCACAATTCCCAAAGATGATCGATAACACACTGGTATGAGGTTCGACGATGATATTCATTTGTCCGAGGAAAAACGTCGAGTCATGCGTCAAGGGAAAAAGCCACGTAATAATATCACGCTCGTACGACGATCCAATACGATTTTTTAATTCTCCAGGACAGACGAGTATAGTATAGGGTACACTCGCGCGTTCCCTTTTATCCGCCGGAAGTGGTAGTAAGCGCTTTTTTGCTGCCACACATACGTATATGAGGGAACGTGGTGGAGTCCAAGGGGGCTTTCTTTGGGAAAAGGGATGTGAAAACACACCCACACACACATATATATATATGGTCACAAGAGGGGGTGAAATTCGATGGGCTGGTGAGTGACTCACGGCCATCAGGCATACAATATACAGAGAAGCGAGTGGCGACGTCCAGGCGGGCGTTTGCGTCCTGTTTTTATTCCTCTCCCTCTCCACCCCCTATTATAAAGCTACCGTACTGCATATACCTCCTGATGACGCGACGTATGAATTTTCTTTACCAATTTTTTCTTTTTTCTTTTTTTTTTTTTTTTTTCACTTCGATGCCCCTGGTATATATAATATATAGTGGGTACGCGAGAGAGATTTGACTGAATTATTTATCAAAGGGCTTGGGGTGCAGTTGCGAGATTGGACGGGATGTAGATATGGGGTTTTTTTTTTTTTTTATTATTGTTATACACGAGAGTACATGTATTATATGCGTGAGATTCGATTGGTTTATCGCGTAATCAATGATTTATTGATCAATCAAGAGGACTCTCGTCCTGAAGAGAAGTCTCGATTTGACGTATAATCATCGGAACAAGCAGATTATGGTGGTATAGGTATATATATGTCGTTGAAAGGGTTATTTATCAGTTGATGGAAGTTTTTTTTCTTCGTGCATTTGTCACATTGCAAAATTGTTCGCTATACATAGACTGTAGAATAATTGAGCGCAACGAGATTCCACGTGTCGGGGAGAGAATTGAAAAATAATTCGATACGCAAAAGATAACAGGTATGCAATTACTTTGTATAACTTTGACACAGTTGTGTATAAACGATTAAACGTGAGTTAAATTTTTTATCTTTTAAAATTCAGTCAAGTGAAGTACTCAAGACACCCAAGTACCTATGATGTTTTGATGATAGTTTATCAATAACTTTCGTTTCGTATATACACAATATCCGTAAAATCTTTCGTTTTTGTATGGATTTTTTCAATCTCTTTAAGCACATATATACATAAAAATAAACCCTCGATAATCGAAGCTCATCCTATACGATTGCAACCCAATTAGACTGATATTATCCGTTAGTTATACAATGTACGACACGTTAGGCACTCTCACCGGCGTCAAACTTGAGACAATAATATTCATCAATCAAGGGCGCTTTATCGATACGAAATGTCACCGTACCCGTTACGTATAGGTACACATACATATAATTATAATTTAAGTACACGCATGAACCAACACGAGGCAGGTGTGCCTCTGCACGCGCGAGTGATCGACCCCCAAACAGTAATTCACGAAAGCTCGAAAGCTCGCGACGAAAGGTATAAAAATCGTCAAGAAAAGCCCTTGCCCGATCAAATTTATATACATGTGTATACTTACGTATAAAAGTAGAGGAGAGGGGGTGGTATATAGTAATAATTAACGAGAGGGTGGAGAAGGGCCGTACATAGAGGTGGGGGGGGGGAGAGAAGCACGTAAACGCGTTGGGTGCGTGTGCGTATGTCCGTACGGCGACGGCGGCTCTTCTTCCTCCTACGTACGCGACTCGCCGGCGCCGGGCGCGTTGGCTCCCCGAGCAACGGTCGAGCAGTGCTACAGAAGCGCGCGAACCACCGAGCTTGCGATATATACTCGTATTTTTGGGGCTTGGAGCGCGCCTGGATATACGTACGTGTTTGCTGGATACCGATTTTTTTCCCTCGCCTTACCGATCATCCTTGGTTGGGCTGCCCCTAAAAGGAGGAGGAACGATCGTCGAGCGTAAATCTGCTGGGGAGCTTTTTCCAAGATGCTGTCCAAGGCTGCGCTTCTGCTCGCTTTCGCGATCGTCGTCGTTTTCGGATATTCCGGTGAGTTTTTTTTTTTTTTCACTTTGATTTTTCGCAGAGATCGGTATAGCTTGGAAAGGGGCAACTTTTGAAACTATTACTATTATTTATTTGTTTTTTTTTTTTTCATTTCTACCGTTCGTATATTCACCGGCAAATGTACAAAGTACGAACTGTATCGGTCCCCCCCTCGTTTCCCTCTCTAGAAATTTTCCGACTCCGTAGCTATACATGTACCCGATAAAAATAAATCTCGCAAGATCTTTTTTTTTTTTTTTTTTTTTTTTTTCACTCGCAACATGTATACACACGTATGCTTATGTATACACGCCAAAAAAAAATTTAAATTCTAGCGGTCGTTGGCGTAGAAAGAGGTTTTCGCACCGCGTGTTCCGGCAGCTCGAACATTTTAAAAATATCTCATATTTCACGAGGCGATGACTTCACCCTATACAGCCGCGTGAAAGAAAAACAATTTTCGGGCAAATTGTACATTTTTTTTTTTTTTTTTTTTAAACAACATCCCCTCCCGTCCATCGGTGTGTATTACACACACACCCACCCCAGTGGAGGGCGAAGGAATCGATCATCGTCCTGTAAAATATATACCTCGTTAAAATCAATCCATCCGAGTGATTGTACACTTCCCCCCTAACGTCATGCCATCTCGGCGCGCCTCTCTTAAGCTAAGCCTCGCTGATAAATGACTCACGATCGTGTAATCTCATGCTCGAGTCGTGTGAAATTCAGCGTCCATCTGCCGCAACGGCGGATGAGCGAAGAAAATGTTCTAAAACGATCGGTTCGCTTAATCACACCCGAGGGTTACTCGTATACATACACGGGGTGGGTGGACACACGGATTTAACGTATCTTTTCTGCGAACGCGCACGGCAACCATTGATCCGTCCCTTTTTCTTTATTTCGTTAACGCCCGCGTTTTTTCCTCCATACATCCTCCTTCTCATTGGCCTCCTTTACCCGTCTTGCTCGTGTGTACACGAGTGACGGACGCTTTTCTTGTTTACGCGTTTCTTCCATTTTCGGACGACCCCTTTTGTCATTGACGGAGCGATGGGACGTTAATTTTCGTCCTTGGCCTCAATAACAACGTTACACACATATTGTACATCGGATGATTTAAAAGTTGGGGATGATTGTTATTTATATATGTTTTTTTTTGTTTTTTGGTAAAAACAGTCGGGACAACCCGAGTTGAGCAACAAAACGACCCTTCTTACATTGGGTACACTCATCGCCGGTTGTGGTGGGCAAAAAACTTTGGATACAAAAACAAACAAGAGAAATACGTCCGTTGATAACAATTTGAACGGCAGAAGGGAAAAACAAGGGGGCAAGAGGGCGATGTATGCCCGTAAAAAGGGGAAGGGCTTCGTTCGCCCGGTCGGCGCCTCTATATCTAGCGTCGCGGCGCGAGTCTCTACTTTCTCCACCCCAAGAACGAGGGAGAGAGAATCATACTAATATATACACACACACAAGTCTCGGGCGCACACGCGTCCAATTCACGTCAATTTAGGCGGATTACGACGCTTCATGCGTTTTTATACGTATATATATATAGATAGATAGATATCTCCTCGTCTCGGTCATCGTCATTACCATCCGCTCGTTTTTCTCCTCTTCTTTTTGTCTTTCTCAAATTTTCTTAATACCTTGTTTACGCGCGTATACATACATATATACACACACGGAGAGGTCCGTAAATACATATATATACCGTGGGCGACGTTGTTAGCCGTCGACTTCCGTTTGAATCAGCCGCGTGCTTGCAATGTAAGACCCGATTTTAATAACACACGCCAAGCTTCCGTTTTACACGTATTTTAATTTGGGACCATACATTTTTTTCGATCGGACGAAACGATTATCCCATCTGCGCGTAATTACACGATTGTAGGGCTCATTCGTGACGTATATACGAAAAGGGGCGGGTATAGGACACACACTCTCTGGGGCGAAAGAGGAAACGATTTGCCTTTTGTCGATGGACGCTCGTATCCTTGGATACTGTCCCGATACATTTGTCGAGCATAATCATTGTGTACTTTGATGATCACCCAGGCACGAGTGATGGCCATTACCGCAAATGTCGAATTGCGACTGAAAAGAGAAAAATTGTGGAGTTGCGGTTGAGCGATAAGCTTCGTTTTCTAATGAATGTCGAATTGCGGCTGAGTAACGTTCCCATTACTAATTGATATATAACGACATTTTTCCGTCACACTTTACCCAGGCTTCGGACTGGCAGTTCTAAAATTGGCGTATTTACAAAATATGAACAAATAAGCGAATCATGGTCATCTCGGTTTTTTCGGCATATATACGATCAACGATTTTTTGGATACAGTTTTTATAAAATTAAATCGAGTGCTTACTCCTTGTTGATATCGTAACATTTCAAGTCTTAAGAAATTTTCTTTTTCTTGCGTCGTCTTTGATTTTTCCCTACTACTTCGCATTTTTACGTACACTTCTGATTGAACATTCTGGAGTAACGATACAAACGTAAATAAGTTCGGGTGTGCTGATGGAAGCTCTTGATTAATTTTCGAGTGAAACGCTTCACAGTTGTTTGTTGTGCGATAAATGCTGGTCGAAAATTTTGCCCACATCTTTGGAGGATACGGCGCTTCTGCTACAATGTATAGTTCAATAGAACATAGTCACAAAATTCATGAACCGTAGGATTGTCCAGCAATACGCTCATTAAATCTTCTACGAAGCAGTCTTCAACTTATTCTGGGTCTAAAAAAGGCAGCCCGAAAAAGCACTTCAAAAAATTTCCTTCTTCTGAATGGTTTTTATACAATTTCCTTGGACCAAGCTGTTGGATTCTTCGCCACCAGCTTTGGCCCAAATGAAACCTACAGGCCCAGATGTTTGTATTTGGCAGACTGTTATTAATACCACTGTGAATTGCTGGCTCAACATCTGCGTATATGGTATTCGGTTTGAACGACAGCTTTAGTTTCTTACATTCGTCATTCAATATATTAAAAACTTGTTCGTACGAAGAAGTACTTTTGTCAGGAAGTAAAAAAAAAGGCTAATGGGACATAAACATTATTTTGATGAGCATGCACGATGAGTAATTGCTTAAAAAATTTCCTTTCTCACTTGTACGGAACTCCATTTTTCAAAAAACAACAATTAAATGAAAAGAAAGAATTAATAGATGACTGGTGAATATGTGCAACATAAATTAGAAAACGAAGCTTATCGGCCGCCATAACATACAGGGAATGAAAATTTATTCGATTGAAGAAAATAATCGTGTCCAAGGATACGGTCCCAAGCAAACAATCTCTCGAAATGTGAACGATATTTTTTTACCTCAAGTGTTGAACGAGAAAGTAGTTTTTATTTTGTTCCTACCTCGGGCGTTTTTGAGGGTTGGGTGTGCCCTTGGTAGAAAAAATAAGGTTTATCGCCACGCAAGTGCCATTCATCCGGGACTACCTTACATAGTCCCCAGGGCAGCAAAACAGCCCCGTTGGCGATGGCGCTCATCCGACGAAAACTTATATATCAATCTCGTTTCAAGAGGACATTTACCTACTTGGCACTATTCTATAGTGAATATAAATTCTTGGTTCTAAAAAATTGTACCTAATTGCCCTTTGGCTTGAAATTGGTCAACAAATTTGTCTTTTTGGAAACATTTTTCTTTGCAAACTATATGCTTATTACCACCAACCTAAACGAAATCCCGAACAAAATAGGAAGCCTTAAAAATAATACACATGCTTCCCGAAATAAAAGTTGCAGTAGAGTGTTGTTTAAATTTCGTTTGATTGTACCATACGTATATACAACAATTGTCAAATGCTCGAGTTCCACGGCTTTCATTCCACAAATGCGCGTTTTCGACTCTCGAAATCAGCTTACGAGCGAAGAAAAGAGCACATGTAAGGGTTTTTCGCTCGACGATGGCGAGAACGGCGCAAGGGGGAGACGAAAGAAAGGGCGGGGGGGGGCTCGGCTCGCGTTTTAAGGTTTTGCGTGAGAAGGCGCGTTCAAATTTCGCACACGGGAGAACCTCCCATGTACTCCCCTTTCTACGAGTACATGTATATATATATGTGTACGCCACACCTGATCCACCGGACGTTTTAACTTTTGTGCAACCTGTTTACGCCGCGGGTGTGCCTACACGCTAACACACACGTGTGTGAGCTCTGTTAATTTAATTTTACGGTCACGTGCGGGTTTAATTTTTTTTTTTTTCTTTTTTTTTAATGCTGATGGGCTCAATCTTTTTAGGCAGGTATAAACATGAACGTACATACAGACGATTCACGCCATACATATACAACGTGCATGTATTTATATACTTGAGGGCATATGTATTGTTGCGTACGTAATAAAACCCGTAACCAGTGATGATGGTATTATACACACATTTGTTTTCAATATCAGTGATCACAAAGGTATTCGCAACATATAATTATACATTATTTCGCGTTACGGTGTCAAGGTACACACGCACAGCACCTCGTATATACCTACAATGGGTTACGTAACGCGCGTGAACCATAATCGCTGTATGTATAGCGACCAATTGGGTATGTATTATATAAATATTATATAAAAAAAATTATATGACAAAAATAGAGTTTTCCCAAGCGCGAGAGGAAAAAACTCTCAGAATTCTTGGGTTTTACAAAACGTGTAATCGTCCTTAGTGTACTGTTATGGTGGAAAATTTGCATCCCGTCTGTCTCACTCGAGAGCATATCGGAGGCGACGGCAAGAAAGAGATGGGCATTTTTCAAGGCCATTTACCCAAACTAACGCGGGGTTTTATTAGAAAATTCTTGAAATTCATCGCGTCAGCTCGGACTGTACCTACTATATAATATAATAATAATTACGTAGGTGATGCATACCGTTACGGCTGGGTGTATACAGATGACCGTTGTAATTTTACAGCATCTGATGCGTGAAGGGGTCATTTTGGGAAATGTAGGGGTTTTAACTCGTGGAACGCATTAAAT